AAAATATCGGAATGAGTTATCGTTTTTTAGTGATAAACTCGATATGCGCACGATAAATACATTTAAAAAAATTGAAGTCTCTAGCTCTTATATCTTCTGAGATCGACGTGTTCATACATACGGACAAACGGACAGACAGACTGTCCGTCTGCCAAATCGACTCAGCTTGTCGCCCTGATCAAGAATATATATACTTTGTGGGGTCTGCCACGCCTCCTTCTGCCTGTTACATAAATTTTAACAAAACCATTATACCCTGATTTCCCATTGCAAATAGATTCAGGGTATAAAAATTAAACTGAATTGGTATGTTTAGAAATATTTACCGCATAGTCCGGCCGATCGGCGTACGTAAGGGATTGTATGTGCTCCAGGAATTGCTTCAAGTCGGACGGCAGATGCTTTAATAGTATTCTATGGTCATATTTCTCTTTAGTCAATCCAACTTGTTCCTTGTCTTTGATCTTCCTCCATGGTAATTGACCATTTACGAATTCTACGAGCATATAAAATAATGACCATAAATCATCATGCCGACCCATTTCTCGATTGCGATGTGCGTTTATCGAGGCATATCGCACAGTTCCTCGAAATCCAGCTGCTGCTCGAGGACAGCGAACCTCTCCGGTGCCCGTCGTATATTGCCGAGCCAGACCAAAGTCCAGCATATATACTCGTCGACAATTGTACGGCAAACGTCCCACCGAAAAGTTGCTCTATAAAATTTTCGAATAACATTTTGTTAGAACTACTGAACAATAGCCATTCACACTTCAAAAGCATACACATTTCTTCCGAAGTATACATTTTCCCAAATGCCCCGCCCATTTTATAAGGCTTATCGTTTGTTGATATTATGACAAGAATTGTCTACTCGCAGCAAAAATACTGCCGGACGGACGACAGTATCACGGACCTTGGCAGTAAGACAAGTATCAGCTTACCGGTTTGATGTCGCGATGTAGGAAGCCAACCGAATGTATAGACTCAATGGCTTTGAGGATTTGCAAGCCAAGCCTGAGGGTTGTACTGAGAGAAAATGCGCCTCTTGGTTGGGCTCGTCTCAGTTCAGCTAAGTTTTTGCCCTGAAGCTGCATGACCACATAGTTGAATCGGTCATTTCGTCCACAGCCGATGAAGCGGCAGACGTGTTCTTTGCCTTGCAGCTTCTTCAGCACGGCCACCTCCATTTTGAGTACCTGTTTGGGTTGTCGGGCGGACTCCACCTTAAGTGCCACTTGCTCGCGGGTAATCAAATCTTGGCCCTCGTATATCTCACCGAAGCCGCCGCCACCAATTTTGCGCACAACCTAGAAAGGATTTCAAGTATGCATGTATAGAATTAACGAAAGAAATCTCTCTCTCTCTCTCTCAATCCAACCTTCCAACGCTCCTTAACCACATGTCCCGGCTGTAAGAGATCCTCAGACGTCATTTTGTTTGTTTCCTTTGGCAATGCGGCGTTGTTGCTGCTCTCTAGCTGAGGTGCTGCAGGTAGGACTGCAGGGGTCTGTGGTATCTTGAAGGTGACGCGACTTCGTACACCTAAACGATTGTGTTTCGCTGGCAATGTGGCAGATCGCTGCAATGCATGCGGAAATTTGGGGTCCCCCGATGAGTCAGCAACTGCAGTACTACCCGTGCGAAGATTCTGAAAAAATAACGCTGGCTCTAACGTAGGCGGCGGCTTCGATGGGGGCGGTGGCTGAAATCGTTCTATATACTTGGGACTATCATCAATGTATAATCGCTGTGGATGCGCTTGGATTTTGTGTTGTCGTATGCCTTTAGCTTGAGCTTTGTGGATCCCATGAGAATCGGCGACATTTTCGTCATTTCTTAAAATACAAATGAATCACAAAACGCAGTAACGGTATCCGTGTTAAGGGTTAGAGCTCAAAATTATACGATTAATTGTTAAGAGTGAAAATCAAGGAAGAAATAGTCTTTTTTTTTTTATAAATCAAATTCGTAGGACTTGTAAATATATATGTATGTAATTGAAAATACATAAATACAAACTATAAATTTGATAGTCGAAATCGTGCGCGCTAAGACCTAAAACGAATATATATTTAAATATGCATATAACATGTACATATGTGTATGTATGTATACATATGTAAATATGTATATTTGCATAACCTTTATCCAGAAAGAAGCTCAAATTAAAGAAACGAATATGTAGCCGAATATGTATATAACGAATATGTACATATATAATAAAGAAGTGGCCATAGAAGTTTACCTGAGTTATTTACTGAAATACCACATGATTGACTTGGAATCCTCTGGCAGGACACGTAATGCGTATATATATATATACATATATGTGGCCTAATAGTTGTAAAATTGAAAAGCTATTGAAACACTTGAATGTCCTTTGGGCATTGCACACTTAACTCTTTTAATATTGCTCGGATCGACAAAGAATTGAACTATCGAGCATTGATTATTAACGGAGCTGCGCTTGCCATGTTATTTAAAAGCGAACAAAAAATTCTCGTATTGATTGCAAAGCTTGCTAAGCTCTGTTCACAAGCAGAGCTTTTCTACTTAACAAAAACAACAAAGAAAACACGGCAGAGCGTGCAAGAGAGAACAACTGTGTGTGTGTGTGTGTGTGTGTGTGTGTGTGTGTGTGTGTGTGTGTGTGTG